TCCATTCGCAGGCGAAGCAGCTGTATTCACGGCAAAGTCATCGACCTTGATAGGTCGGAGCGGTGTGCTCGAGTCTGCAACTTCGAACACCCCAGGTTTGCTAGCAGTCGGAACTAGTTCGGGAGAGGATGATCTCGTTCGACCGCGTAGATTGACGCTGCCTGGAGGGGAAGCGCTCATCATATGATTGGAAGACAGTGCTTCCACAAGATTATCGATCCCGCCCGATGAGCGACTTGTTTTCCGCGAGCGCATTTGAAGTGATTTTATTGAAGAGTTGTTTGACGATCCTGACATCACCAGTTCTTCTCCGCCTTTCGACAATGCTAAGGGGATCAAGAACGAGAATCGACTGCCCTCATCCACTTTAGATTCGACTCTAAGCTGGCCATCTAACCTGTTAATGTTGAATTAACATCGCGAATGACTGCAGAACAGTGGCTTACTGCTCAACTATCCTTGCCACCACCGCAAGTCCCAGTCCGACACCACTCCCGCTACTGGTTTTAGGCTCCATGAATTCAACTTGCTCGAATTCTCTGAAGATGCTTCCTAATCTCTCCGGAGCAATCCCACATCCGGTATCCGCCACGACAATCTCCACCGCAGTCTGTCTAGGACCCCGAAGACCAACTGGTTCCTCGTATGGCATGCATCCCACGGTTATTGAACCCTCGGTCGTGTATTTCACTAAACCGTTAATCAGTAGTTCGGCCAGACTCAAGAAAGAATGGTTAACGCACAGGAATTCGCAGTGAGATTTTGAACCACAGTACGTATTTTCTTTGCGTCGCCTACCACAGTTTTTGGCGATTGGTCGAGGTTCAATACGAACTTGATATTCCGTCGCTGCGCCTCCTTGCGGTATAGGTGCGTCGCGTCCTCGATAGTAAACTGCAGGTCGAACGGCTCATTAAACGACGTCTCGTTGCCGCTCTCGAGCCTCGTGAGATCCTAAGCACAAGACTTAGCATTTGAGTGAAGTATCGGGTGACCTGTAACCCACCAGCAAGTCGTTGATTGTGAACAGAAGACTCTACACGGTCATCAGTTAAGCGTGGCTTGAAAAGTTAACGAGGACTGATCTACCTTCGACGCGGAATGCGAGCGATTCAGATTATCGCGAGTCTCATCATCCAAGTGTCCATTAAGTGCCAACTCAAGGTAACTACCCACAAAATTAGTGATCGTCGGACACAGCTCAGTGGACGACACACTTAATAATATGATTCAGCGGTGTCCGGACTGGACCAAGCGAAATATCAGAACGGGTAAAACTAATCAAGACTCGCGCCACTGACCGTCATGCGACGCATTCGAGAGTAACAAGTTGGTGAGCCGCGTGGTTTGCAGCGCATTCTCCTTCTGTCGCCACACCTCAATGAACTACGCGTGAACCGAAGCGTCAAAACGCATCCTTTCACAGTGAAGCTTGAATACGCCGACTAACCTTCCCGTACACCAACGCGAGCACCCCCGCCGTCTCGAGCTGCTCATCGGTCCACGTGCGGCACCTCCCCACAATCGTCTCTGACCAGATCGCAAAGCTCTTGCGTGGCTCGAGCGCTGCACCGCTGCCAGGCGCCGCACGCGTCTTCGCATTCGGGTTCCCCGCCCAGTGCATATGTCGCGGTTGCCCCTTGCGCAAGAAGCAGATGAAGTCCTTCCCTTCGCTCGAGAGCGGCACGTACAGCATTCCGGCGATAAACTCGAAGCCTTCGGACAGTGCAAGGTCCTCGAAGTCTGTTGTCACAGAATGAGAGACTTGTATCGTGCTGCAGACCCAGTGTCCAGTTTAGTGGCAGAAGCGGGGGATTAGAAAGGAAGAAAAAAGCTCAGTACTGACGTGAATTGCTTCAGTCGCAGATACTCGGTCATTACGAGAATCTCTTGCCCGTATTCATTCAGCCCCAGCATCTTCGCTGCTTGGCCAATCTAAACGTGGGTGAGCCACGCCTGCAAGTTAATGAAGCTGCTACGTACGACGAGCACCCCAAAGTCCGCATCAAACAATCCGAGCAGGTCGTCCACATTGCTTACAATGTACCCCGTCTACAAGATTTATCAATCCAGTTTGTCGCATGCGCATGGCTAATTCACCCACTGGATGGTTATCCGTCACCATCGTGTTTATCTAAGGTAAATTTAATCGTGAACCCATAGGTAAGTGCGCATCTCATGTAATGCACCCACCAGCTTGCGCGTCGTCAAGCGCTGCGCATAGCTCAAGCGCTCGATATTGCGTGATATGGACTGACTGAGCAGACGCAGCATTTGTCGCACCGGGAACGACACGCGCATCCCGTGTGGGCCATAAGAGTGACACGATACCAGCCCCCACAGCGCGCCGAAGGCCATTATCGACTGCACACGGATGTAAGCTCAAGTCTGACTCTCCAAGAGGCGTTCCAGCACACTTACAACAGACATCGACGCCCGCACGCCCATGTTCTCTAGATCTGTATACCGCGAGATCGGCCAATTACTCAGTCATTCATATCACAATCGCCGACAAGCTCACATTTAACATGGATTGGGCTCATTGAACGCAGATAGCAATGCGTCATGTTCTTCAGAAGTATCGGTCAGCGCACAACAATGCAGGATGAAGAGGGACGCACCATCGGGGTCTTAAGATCTTCGCGGTTGCGTACGACCATACGTGCGGTGGGTTGCGAACGATCGTATAACAGTCGGACCTTGTCTTGGGGGATGTTCAATATCAATTCTGAACAGTGATGGACTCGAGCCACTCACTGATCGCATACAACTGCCTAGCCTATCTCGCAGCCCAAATTAAATGCAATTCCCAGCCAGTAATGCCTTCACTCACCTGCGCCGGGATATCCGCTGCTGGAAAATGTAGCCCGCGATACAGATCGCGTGTCTTGCTCCAGTCTACCAGCTCCGCGACCACCTGCCCGTTCCATGCCTGGTCAAACTGGTACACCAGTACCCGGTGGAACTGCGACAGATCTTTAATCACCCCGACGACGACCTGTAGGAACGCGCCGAGGTCGGGCGCATCCCCGAGTTGTTCGTTGATCTGCGCCATCACGGCGAAGACATCCATCATGCCAACACCGCCCGCCGAGCTGCCGCCGGTGCTGCGACGCGTGCGGCGTGAGCGTGGCGTGGATGAGGTGTCTGAGGTGTCTGTTGCGCGCTCCCCACGCGCGATTCGCCGGAGACGTTCCAACGCAGGGAGTGGTTTCGCACGGGATGTTGTGCTCTCCAGAATATTCTCTGCGCTTTGCACGAACTTTGGGGTGGCCACGTCGCCAGTATCCGGCGTCAGCGTCGATGACGACCCATCCGTGGACCCCCCATGTTCATCTGTGCCTGGTGGACTACCAGATCCAGAGGCGTCTAGTGCACCCACGTCTTCCGGGGTTGGCGGGTATAGTGGGTTCAACGTGTCGCGCTCGAGTTCGAACTCCATGATAATGAGTCCCGCGTTGGCGCAGCCGGTAGGATCGGATGGACGATGGACGGCACACCAGCACGTCCACAAGCGCCGGTCGCCACTTGCCTCTTTGTCGTCCGGCTTGGCACTCCCTGGCGCCCCCCAGCCAGTGAGCAGAAATACATGCGGCGACGCCTCCTCGTCTTGCGCGTTCAAATTGGTCTCCGAGATGAACTGGATGTTGTCCCAAAGGACTCCGGCCTGAGTGTCGGGTAGCGTATCGGTGAAGCACTCGAGGGAGAAAAGATAATGCGGGGAAAGCCCGAGGAGTTCTCCGGCATTCTTACCAGCAAGGTTAGTGGTGAGCGATCAGGGCGGAAGATCGTACCTCTGAGACCTGGCGGACAACCAGCACGTCGGCGAGTTCATCTACCGCTATCAGCACGCCAAATCCTTGGACGGCGCCCGGGGACCGGATTGGCTGATTTTCAATGTGTTATTGCTTTCGTTACTTGTTTAAATAATTTGGGCGTACCTCATCCTCGCATCGAGCGAGTTTTCCTTCTCTTCCGGTTATAATGTGGTGACCATTCTCGTCCTGTACATGCTGAAAACGGAGGGCCATGAACTGTGATGCATCGCTCGCGTCTGAGCCTGACGCAGACCCCGAAACGGAGGAGGAGACGCCGTTCGATGACGACGACTGAGAAGAATTGGATGGCCTAGGACTAAAATTGTCTGCAGAATCCGGTCGTGAGGGGTAGGCTGCAGATTGGTTCGAGTGGTCTCTGCTGTTCTGGCTGCCGCTTAACCGAGGGGCAGAAGAGCGTCTGTCGCTGCGCGACGATCTGGAGGAGGGTAACGGAGGGAGATGAACGAGGTCGAACTGGGCGGGGTACCATCCAACAGTCAAGTCGGGAACCTCCTCGGGCGGCAAAGGGTCATCGCTGACGGGGACTTGCTTCGGTCCGACACGAACTTGGGGCGGCGGCGGCTTCGGTTCTGGTTGGGACGGGGCGACCTGCGCTACAGATGGAGATGGAGCCAAGACTGCGAGGCTATCGGGGTGCAGGTCGGCGTTGTTGGGCCAAGTGGCCGAAAAGGTTCTCGGCGAATCGGCTGGAGTGTCTTCGCCAGGAAAATGTCTAAAATTTGGTGCTGTGCGATGGTGGCGTTTCTTGGATTTTCTTTTTGAGGTCGGGGGTGAGTTTGAGTCGGTCTGAGTTTTACCGGCGGATGAAGTGGACGCAGACGACTGCGGGGAGGGGGAAGAGGTACTCTTGCCGTTCGCTGGCGGGCGCCGGGAGCCGAGGTCAACTGTCTCGGCGTCGAGGGCGGTTGTTTGGGCGGGCTGGATAGCGCCGCTGAGGAGCGAGCGGACGGGATAGACGAAGGACGCGTTCGACTCGGACTCGGGGTGCGCCATGCTGCATGTCTCTCCCAAAGCCCTTAAATCGATTGGCGTCCATGACGTCACGACCATAGCCGCTATTGCGCTCACGTGGTATGGCTATCAGGTGATCACTTGGCTTCTTGAAGTGTTGCCAGTGGGTGCGAGTACTCTGAGATGGCCTATGGATGCAGATGTATAACAGCCTTCGTGGTCTAGTAGCATGATACCTGCTTTGGGAGTTTCCGCTTGCAGGTGGTCCTGGGTTCAACTCCCAGCGGAGGCCTTTTTTGTCCTTTTTGATTTTTCCGAAAATTTTGTTCCCTCTCTCTGTTTATCCAATAATCTATGCAAAACCCCACAATTCTGAGACGACATCTCCTTCCATCTCCAGCGGGAAACAACCCAAGAATCTATGCAAAACTCCACAATTCTGAAACGACATCTCCATCCATCTCCTTGTCTGCAGCGGGAAACAACTGCACACGCTTCTCCATCTCCACCGCAACCGCCGGTTCCTTCTTAATCTTCCTGCTGGCATCTGCCTCGAACAACTACGACAATTAATTAATTTCTCAGCATCAACAAACCACAGGGACCCTCACCGTTCCATATGTATGATCCAGAAAATCTTCCATCGCATAACTCTGCTTCGTGAACGCCTCCGAGAAAATCTTGCTCAGCGTCGATACCCCCGCAACATAGTGCGCCCTGTGCGACGCGAGTTCCCAGAGCGAGCTCTCGATTGCCCGTGTTAGCATAGGATTAGGCTCCGCCGCATCGAATGCGTCTGCGACGGGCCCGTCAGTCTCCGCACGGTGGATCATGGCCATGAGCGCGGGGTGACGCTTTAGTGCGTTGTATGTGAACGGAATTGCGAGGACCACTGCAGCTGGCGGTGCGGAGAGCGACAGGCGCGCGAGGCGTTTAATAAAGGAAGCGAGTAGCGCTGCAGGGAGGTGCCTAGACATGCGCAAACCAAGTCAGTATGCGACTCTGAAGCGTTGGGGACGAACGGCACAAACGAACGTCGAGCTGAGGAACAATTCTGTTAACCTGAAAAACCTCGCACGGTGTTTCGAATGCAAAACATCGCGGTCCAAGAATGCATACAGTCTGGTGTAAAACGCCGGGTAGTCCCTGAAAAATAATACACGTGGTCTATACCTGAAATGAGAGATGCGAAACGAGTACGAACAGATTATATTCCTTCATCAGTGTAAAAAGGGTATTGAGTGCCAGAAGCCCGACAGTGCCGCCTAAATAACCAATAAGCCAAGCGACACCACAACAATCCCAGCCACGGACCATAGTCGACGCTCCCACCAACCCAGTCCATAATCAAGACAGGTCTTGTTAGGTGCGGCATCACTCCGCGATGCATCACGTTCAGGGCGCGTTGCAACAGACTCGTCCTCGTCGCTTCGTCGCGCACTGCCGACAGCCTTGGCAGCAGCGCAAGCCATGCGCGCGTAAACACCGCACGGTGCGACGACAACGAGTGCAGCGACTGGTGTACCGTCATTTTATGCAACCGTGTGCCCGGCGCTTGTGTTTTTGTCTTGTTCATGTCCTTCGCTGTCGCATCCTCGTCAAAGAATTTGCGCCAATCGTCCTCATCATTGTCGACCACGTCGCCGTCCGCCTCTTCGTCTGAGTCGGACGCGCCCGCCGCGCCTCTTTTGGAAGGCTTCGGCTTCGGCGGCTTTACACCCATCTCGGCGACCCACCATGCATTGAGTTCCGCCTTTTCAGTTGGAAAAGTATTGAGGCCTTCCAAAAGAGCTAACAGATTCTGGGGCAGCTTGGGATGCTCGGCAGTAGGGGCGGCATTGACCAACGACCTGCGGTGACGGTGCGAGTCAGGATTATTAAGGAAATAAATGCATTTCCCCGCACCCGGCTTCACGCAAGAAAAACCACCGCACGTCGTCGTGCACGCTGAACCAAGTCTCATGGAATAGATGGAGAACGTCTGCATCCAGAACGCCTCCACTGCTCTGTGCGGCTCGCAACGAAGGCGGACAGAGCAAGAGAGCAGATACGATCTTCCGGAAATGTGCGACGTGGAACTGGGGCTGCGCATCCACTGCGCTTGCGCTGGCTGCCGTAGACAAATGCTTTTGCAACGAAAACAAAATTTGCAACGCCGATATCTGTATGGGCATTCGATAAATACCGTGAAAGTAGTAATATTACACGCACACGCAACAGGTTCTCTTCGTCCTTCAGAAGACCACACAATAAATCCACATAAGAAGTGAGGCGCTCCCACGTCCACGCTTTAACGATTTTGGCGGCGTCGTCAATGGCGCCCCCCGCATTGAGCTTTCCGGCAGAGATAATGACCACAAATACCCGGTACAGGGCGTATATCGCCTTGGATGTGTCTTGTGCATCCCGGGCAGAAACAGCCAGCTCTACAAGGTCCGCCAAAGGATTTAAAGAGGAGCTGGCAGCGACAGCGGCGGTGAGCTGCTCCTCGAGTAGCTGGATCGATTTCGCAAGTTCAGAGTCTTTCTGAAGCTTGCGTTTCTTGCTTGGAGGCGGTAATGACGGGGCGGGGCGCGTCATGGCGCGAAGGAGTCTCCAAAAATTGGCACAGCCACATATTGAATGGATTCCTTTAGTCAAGTCATGGACAATGTCGGTGGACCCGTCGCCCAATCGTACACCATCCTGCGCATCAAGCGCAAACGAAACGAAGAGCCGCTCGATGCTCTAGGCAAGCTTCTGCCCTTATCCGTCCTTCTGGCCTTCTTTCTAATCTCAAGTGGCATCGGCATGCAGTTGTCGAATCGCGACGCAGGAAGAGATCCCGCGGCGGGGCCGGGGGCGTGTTCCGGTTCGCGCAGACGGTCGAACACGACGCGTGGACGGACGAGGCGAAGAAGCGCGACATCCAGGTGTGTCCGGGAGCAGAACCACCTTCAACTCGCGTAACCCTGCATTCAAGGACCAAATCTCCCGTCTGGCGCGCGAGAAGGCGTTGCTTAGTCCTGCTTCTGCTGCCACCGAACCCGTCCCGAGCACGAGCGCGCCGCTGCGACAAACGCAAGCGACCCCGCCCGTTCCGAAGGATGACCCAAATCGACGGTATAAAATTATACTGCAAGAGGAGGAGGCGCCGCCTCCGAGGCGGCGATTTCCATCTAGCCCGTGTGTTTCTCGTCTTTATTCAGGACTCATGGGTTTGCGAATGTTCTTTTCAGGCCGAAAGTTATTTCAGCCAAGGATCGTGCTTTGAAAGCGGAAGACACAAATAATGGCTTCAAGATGTACGATGCCGTTCTTTCCGCTGAGGCAGCCTCGACCGCTGCGGCGGATGAACAAATGGAGAGGTTTATGCCAATGTTGAATGATTATTTAAAACGTTGAGTGCAACACAAGTCTATCCGATAGATCCTGATCATCTTTGTAGTCCATGATCTTACTCCTGATCCTTTGGTCGCAGAGCCTCCGCCCGCGTCGAAATCGTCAGCAGATGACTATGTCTGGGATGTATTTTATCATCGACCCACGACTCTGACAGAATGGAACGAGATTGCGAACGTTGGTACACTGTATGATTCTGTGTTCACGTGTGAAGTCTGCTCGATTGTCTGACATAGACCTTAGGACGGGCCTCCCTCCTTCGATTACGGATCCTTATGATTCAACGTCAGACTCGGAGGAAGAGGACGAGGCAGACGAGGATTCAAATGGTAGAACTTCGTTCAATTGATATTTATGTTGACAAAATGCTGAACTTTGTAGCGGAGGAATATTACAAGAATGACTACCCGGACGAAGAAGAGTCTTCAGAAAGCGGTGAATCACTCGTCCAGTTACCTAGTTTTGCCTGCTGAATTTTCATTCAGATGCGTTTTCTGACGATTCTGCGGATGGGTACAACAACGATGATTCTGAACATGACTGGCGATAATCACATATTTACTGTGCACAGATAACATTAGAATGCCAATCTCATCTCAAGGCTTTTCATCGGAGTTCGTCTAAAACCGTCAGTTCAGACAGATAAAAGTAAGATGGCAAAATACCTTTGAGTGAGTGCTGCCAGCCCGCTTCCCCCGGCCGATGGTCAGCAAGCCCAAGAACGCGAGGACCCCAAACATCCCCAAAACCACCACAAGCGTCAACCCAGCGCCAAGGAATCCGGCGCCAACAGGGCTAATACGTTGGTGGTGTCCGCCGTTGGCTGCAAGTACGGCCGCGCTCGCCTGAGCCGCCGCCTGCGCTATGGCCCCGCAGCCGCGGTCCTGTGTGTTGTTGCACGCAGTGCACCATTGCGACGTAGAGTTAATCAGCGCAGACTGACATTGCCACCCCGTCCCAAGTCAGTGCCCAGTCCCAACAAACGAGAGAAGTGCGTCTCACATTAACATGGTCGGCCAAGGCTGAAATCGGCACGTCGCCCGTGCTACCGATAAGCTGGTACTGCACGAAGTCTTCTCCCGTCCCGTTCTTGAAGTTGAATCGTACAACAGGTTCGCCGCCGGCTGTGGGCTGGCGGACCTCCAGTGTCACTGCGGCGGCGTAGTTGACTGAAATGAAAGTTCAGGAGCGCTGCTGTGTATAGATTGTAAGGCGTAAGTAGACTCACCAAGACCCGCAAGCTGGGGGTTCGCCTGAGCTACGCCAGTCATGTTGAAGAGAGACAAGAAAGGCTTGTAGGCAAGTGACTGATACGCCAACTTCAGAGGGTCCGAGGCATTAGCGATACTGGCCAGCTCAGATAAGATTCCGGGGAGGATAGTCCGTCCAGCGACTGCGAGGTTTAAGTAATGGCTCTTTTGCGTTGGAAGAGCAACGCACTATTTCCAATACCATCGAGCTGAGGAGACGTGAACACACCGTACTCGTGCCAGCTAGCCAAGGTCAACGCCTGAGCCAAAAATGTCGGGGGGAGCGCTTTGGCAAACTGCTCGTTGTGAATAGATTGAACGTTCATGAAGTCGTAAATCTGTTGGCAACCGTGAGGCCACCGATGAAACTGGCTTGAGGATAAACCTCACGTTATACTAGTTGCTCGTTAGACATATAAGACGCAGTCAGAAAGGTGGCTTGCCATATTCTCGAGATCCGCGGGCCGCCCGTCCAAAAACTGAGGCAGCATACTCAAAAACGCAGCGCTTGCATTTTTCATTTGCATGAACTCGGAAGAATTGTAGAATGCGGTAGTCGCGTCGTTAAAAGGCTGGAAAAGACATCAGATACAGCAGCAAGGAGCCTGCGAGACCTACACCACAGGATGTGTACCCTTCAAGGGAGACGTCGTTTGTTGGC